GGCTCTTGTTGCCATTGCTTTTGATGTTTTAGTCATGAAGTCTTTGACCATGCCTATGTCCTGAATGGTATTGCCTAGGTTTTCTTCTAGGGTTTTTATTGTGTTAGGTCTTACATTTAAGTCTTTAATCCATCTTGAGTTAATTTTTGTATATGGTGTAAGGAAGGGATCAACAATTCTCTTATCAAAAAATCTTCCTCTCCTAGCCATGCCAAATAACTGAGCACTCTGTGAGCCATCCAGCTGTCAGCTAGCTAAGTAGCATTTTCACCCACTAATATTAGTCTTAAAAAAGCAAGAATCAAAAGAGAAGTCAAGGAATATCATAAAATATCTGTGATCACAATGGTAAACATCAAAATTTTCACCAACATTATCTGTGATCACAATGGTAAACAACAAAAATTTCACCAACTGTTATCAATGAGAACAGTTCTATACATTAGCATTCTATTCATCTGTGAGAAAAAACAAAAACAAAACAAAACAAAAAAACCTTTTTGATATCTGAAGGTCCTCAGAACCCTTTGAGAATTAAAGAGACTTCAACTGCCAGCAAATTCTACATTGGGCCTATTCTTTAAGACATTGCTGATCTCACAGGAGGTGGAGAAAACTCTCCAAAACAACATCAATGAAACAAAATGAAACAAATAAACCCTCAGTTCGAAACTATGAGCTGCAGGCACACTTAGCAGGTCAGGGTTTTCCCCATGGTAGATGCCCAGAGAGGTACAGGAGTGATCGTTGCCCCAAAGGCGGATGCCTGTCGTAGTTTTCTGAGCAATCAGTGAGAAGGAGCTGAGTGTAAGGCTTCTGAATTAAGCCAGGATTCTCAAGAGTGTCTGAAATAGTCGTAAGTCAGCAGTACTGCTGGCTACTGAATTCCTAATTAAGACCTTGTAGGAGTCCCCCAGTTTAAGGTCAAGAAGTGTGTTCCAAATACTGTCAGCAAGCCTGTGAGAAGCTAATCATCTTGAATGACATTCATCAAAAACAAGAAAACTGATACAGACTCCCTGCTCTTCCCCTTCCCGGGGGAAGCAGAAATTGGGATTGCCTGATACAGAGTATAAAGCAGCTATTATGGATTATTTAAAGGAAGAGGGCATAGGCTTGCAACAATAAACTATTAGGAATAACCAGGATGATTTGAAAACCAAGTGGAAAAAAAAAAGTAAACCTTCTAAAAGTTAAAAGTATAATTACTGAAATAAAAGTTCAATGGAAGGATTAGATAGCTTACTGGACATAGCAGAAGAAAAACCTGAAACTGAAAGAGATATGCAAAGAAATTGCCAAGAATAAAACCAACAGTGTCTTAAAGAATATGTCTTGTCCAGGATCTTTTGGAATGTGAAGGCTCTTAGTTCTTGAAGGATTCATAGGATCTTTGAATATTAAAGAGGTATGTCTTCTTCACTGACCAGTGGAAGAGTAAAGTGTAGAACTGTTCTCACTAGTGAACTTTAGTGAGAAATGTTTATTTTTACTTTTGCCAGTATAATTATATATTTTCATGTTATTTTGCTTCTGTTCTGATTTTTACTTTGGCAATCAATATTAGTGAGTAAGTAGTGAGAAGAAAATGGAAAATAAAAAAGAGGTGTGCGGAAATGTGAAGGCTAGAATAAGAAAGTCTACTACTTATCTCACTGGAGTCCAGTACTGATGAACAGGTGAAGCCGTAATGCAGAAACAACATGTCCAAGAAGATAAATGAAAAGAAATTCATGCCCAAACACGCTGCAGTAAAACTGCCGAATACTAAAGACAAATAGAGAGTATAAAAGCAATCAAAGAGAAAAGGTAAATCATCTTAGAGGCAAATTGACAAGAGACTTCTCAACAGCAAAATGGAAGCAGAAGGATAATAGAATTCAAAGTGTTAAGAGTGAATAACTGAGTACTCAGTAATCTCTCAAGAATGAGAGTGAGCCAGGCGTAGTGGCACACATCTGTAATCTCAGGCCTTTGGGAGTCCAAGGTGAGTGGATCACTTGAGACCAGGAGTTCAAGACCAGCCTGGCCAACTTGGTGAAACCCCATCTCTACTAAAAATACCAAAAAAAAAAAAAAAATTAGCCAAGTTTGGTGGTGCATGCCTGTAATCTCAGCTATCGAGAAGGCTGAGGCCCAAGAATCGCTTGAACCCAGGAGGCGGAGGTTGCAGTGAGCCGAGATAGCACCACTGCACTCCAGCCTGAGCAGCAGAGTGAGACTCTGTCTCAAAACAAAAAACAAAACAAAAAAAAGAATGAGAGTGAAATGAAATATCTATTGGTTAAGAAAACAAAAATACTGAAAAAGTACATTTCAAGGATAGTAAGCCAAACAGAGGAGAAGATATTTGAACATCTGTAACAGACAACAGATTAATATCTAGCATATTTTTTAAAAGTCTAAAATTCAATTTTAAGGAAAAGACAATTAGAAATTGGGAAGTGAAAAGCCAGGGACATACAAATCAAGATTTACATTCAATTTTATACATTTTAGATTGTCAAAATTAAGAAGTCTGACAACACCAAATGTGGAAGAGACTAGAACTTTCATAAAACGCTTGTGGGGAGTGTAAATTGGTAGACACTTTGGAAAACAATTTGGCATTATCTTGTAAAATGTAATATTCACACATTGTACAACCCAGAAATGCTACTTAAAAATATTTACAGGAATATTTAGAGAAACTCTTCTCACAATAGCAAAAAATTGACATTTCAGACATTCATCTGCATGCAAATAGGCTAATAAATTATAGTATAGTCATACAATGGAATACTATATAATTATGAAAATGAGTAAATCATAGTCTTTCACTAAAAAGAACGTAAATTTTAGAAACCTCATACTAAATTTTAATAGCGTCCCAAAAACTACATATAGTATAATACCATTTAGTAAAGCCTCAAAACAAGCAAAATTAAATAGTATATTATTTCGTTTTACATAGTAGGTGATAAAACTATATTTTCTTCCTTTTTTTCTTTTCTTTTTTTTTTTTTTTTGAGACAGTGTCTCACTCTGTCACCCAGACTGGAGTGCAGTGGTGTGATCATAGCTTGGCTTACTGCAGTTTGACCTCCTGGGCTCAGGTGATCCTTCCATCTCAGCCACCAGAGTAGTGGCTGGGACTACAGGTGCATGCCACCACACCTGCCTAATTTTTGTGTGTTTTTTTTAATAGAGACAGGGTTTCACCTTGTTGCCCAAGCTAGTCTCGAACTCCTGGACTCAAGCGATCCATCCGCCTCAGTCTGTCAAAGTGTTGGAATTACAGGTGTGAGCACCACACCCAGCCTATATTTTCTTAAAGATCAAGGAAATGACAAACCCAAATTGAGAATAATGGTTACTTTGTCAAGCCTATTGCCTTTGTAACATCTCAGTCATAATTTGGAGTCACAAACCACCAGAGGTGGAAGTGCTTTCTCATTTTACAGTTGAAAAAGGTGAGGCCCAGAAAGGAAGTTATGTGACATCTATATTAATTCCACAAATTTTAATTTAGCACTATCATAGGCATTTGGATTCCATCCAGGGGTATAAGAGGCTATTCCTGCCCCTGAGGAGCTTATAATTTTAATTGAGCAGTGAGGGAGGGAACAAAATAAACACTTAAACAGTAATAAGTAAATTCTGTGGTGTGTTAGAAAGTCATAAGTGCTATTGGAAAGAAGAAAAACTGGAGCAGAGTCAAGAGGATCAAGAGTTCCAGAAGAGAGGTGGGGCAGGGACAGGCCACAATATTAAATAAGTTGGCTTAGCCCCATTGAGAGGTGAGACACAAAACTTGAAGGCGATGAAGGAAACAGGCAAGTGTGTATTTAGAGAAAGCTTTCTTCTTGAGGAAAGAAATAAGTCAAGAGTGATTTCAAGGATTTGGGCTTGAGAATCTGGGAGGATGGCGTTGCATCTGCCGAGATGGAGAAAGTCGCAAGTGAAGTGAGTTTGTAGGGGAGGGTCAGGACTTCAATTTGGACAGGCTGGCTTAGAGATGGCTATTAGTTATTTAAGTGAAGCTGTCAAGTAATCAGAACATCCAGAGTTCAGAATGGAAATTTGGAGAAAGTCAAAATGCATGTCAATGATCGCAGCAATACTAATGCAGTGCTTTTTGCACCAAACAGGGCCAGATATATTTGAAAGAATTAGCAATTAAATTTTATGGAGATGAACACAATAGAAATGAATAGGAATATGATGAACCCAAAAAATGGAGTCAGAAAACATGTCCAATTCGATTTTTTTCAGCTCTTTCCAAAAGATGTAAATATAGCAGAATATTCAGTTGGCCTCAAATTGACGTATTTGTCATTTTGAGATAGCAGTCGATTTTGTGAGGATTTATCTGATTACTTCTCATGTTATTTGCCATAGTCTCTTTCTGTCTGTAAGCCACAACAATGATGGGGCACACTTTCAGCAGCATGAATAAGTGAAACAAATTCTGCAGGAAATTATGCAACATAGAGAATTCCAAAAAAAATTATCCACATGTGGATTTTTATTGACCCTGATCAGATTTTAGAATGAAATGATTATAACTTTGCCAGGCTGCTTAGCACAATTACAAAGGCTGGGGCATGCTGTTGGAATGATTTGCAGAGAGTCTGAACTGATTACATGGTGTTTTATTTGCATTACATTAAATCCAGAGCACTTCTTAGAGCATGCTGAAAACCAAATGTAGAGCCAAGATCCAGTGAAAGCCGCAGCTGGATGTGATCAGTGTCTAAGAGCTAAAAAAGGGACGTGGAGATCCTCTGGTTCTTTATTTTACAGCAAAGAAAATTTAGTTCCAGAGAGGTTAAGTGACTTGTCTAAAGTCACCAGTGACAGAACCGTGTCAAGAACCTGCTTTTTCTGATTCCCAGGCCAGTAAACCTTTTGCCGTAGGTTGCTGCTTCCATGTGTCACAAAGACTTAAAATTTGCTTCTTTTTTTATATATAATATATATACATATATATATATATATATATATATATCCCTTTGCAGGGTTTCTTCCGGAGAACAATCAGATTGAAGCTTATCTATGACAGATGTGATCTTAACTGTCGGATCCACAAAAAAAGTAGAAATAAATGTCAGTACTGTCGGTTTCAGAAATGCCTTGCAGTGGGGATGTCTCATAATGGTGAGTAAACAGTCATCACCATATACTTTATTATTCTCATTATAGCTGCCAGACCAGTGGACACTAAGGCCATTGCCAAAAATGTGTACAGGTTTTCCACCAAATGCCAGAATTTAGAATATTGCATGTCGATAAAACATTTCTCATTTAGGTCAGTGTTTTTAACGTTTCATTATAGAACCCTTCTCTCTCTGTTTGGGCATTTGCCATGAGGAGAGAAGAGACTTGAAAAATCTGGGGGATGATGGGAAAAACTTTAGTGTTTTAGAACAAATATAATGATCATCGTGATTAAATTTTATATTGCTTCATGCATTAAATAGAGAATTATATTTACTTGTGTGTATCAGTAGTGTCTTTCTACTTTAAACGTAAGAAAATCCTGAAGATGTCTGGGTCTGGAACTTTAAGTGGCATGTGAGAATTTAGATTTATTTAATTAATTAATTTATATTTTTTTTTTGCTCTTTATTATGCAAAGACAAGTGTTCCTTTCCTTCACTTCAAGGAACATCCATGAGTTGTGGAAAGGGTAAAACAAATTATTTTTATAGTTCTGCAAAACTTTAATGCCATAGAAACGTAAGAGAATAAAACCTTCTACTTTTGAAACCTGTGTCTAAAGTCAAGCTTATGACTTTGGGTGTCAACTTAAGGGAAATGATGTAGAAGACCTGAGAAAAGATCCCTGTTTTCATGATCTGTGGAACTAACTCAGTAAAGTCCTGGAAGACAAACATGTTTGAAAAAATGATTCTTGGTCACTATTTAGTTCTCATTGGTTGCCTGGCTGACAAAATACATTTTAGGTATAACTTGGTAGTATTATATGTGTCAAGTATTAATCAGTTCTTTTCAATGCACTCAAGAAATAAAAAATGCCAACATGACCAAATTAAATTCGAAGTTTCATTTCATCAGCTATCCTATTTTTTCTTTCTTTTGTTTTCATCTCTCTCAAAACTGATCTAGTGAGAAGGCAGTTTTCATCTATATGCACTCTAAAGCATCTGAGAAAATTAAATTTTTGCTCTATCATGCAGATATTTGGTTTTCACAGTGGAAACCATCAAGATATTTGAGAGTCACTCATTGATTAATAACCTACCCTTTAAAAATAGTTCACAAAATTCTATCTGTATCATTACTATGAGTCAATTCCTCTAAAGGCAAGAATGTATTTTGAATAGAGCTATCAGCAGTACTGAACAGGATGGAAATTTGATCCAACCTTCCTCAACAATTGACTACATCTGCTGTATACAACTGTAGTCATGGATTGCAAAATAATTTGCTGGTTCAGTTCCATCAGTTTCCTTTTTATTTCAGACCTCATAAAACATAAGGGCAAGTTTCCAAGTCAAGGGTTATATTTTAGGTGATGCAATCAAGTTGCAATAAACTTATTTCATCTTCGTGAAGAAATCATTGACTTTGAGGTCATTATCACTGAGATAGCCTAGGAAAGCATGCCAGTTCCACTTTTAACACTATTTTTTGCCTATTAAAAAATTATCACTTCACACATTCATGTAAAATATAATTCCTGTTACTTATAGGCAGTGCATACATTTATGTAAAATATATTTCCTGTTGCTTACAGGCATTGCATACGTTTACTTAAAATCAATCTCCAATTGCTTATTGCTTATAGGCAAATATTATTTAAACCCCAACCTATGTAGTATGGATGGTATGATTTTCTCCTCCCCTAAAAGTCAAAGAAAGCTATCATAAACTTGATAGGTCATCTTTTGACTTCATATGACAATTTATTTTATCTCTAGAGGGGGTCAATCTTGATAGGGAGTGTTCGTTCAGTTCTAGCAAAAGCAAGAAAATATAGGAATTAAGTGTCACGACATCAGAGACTTAGGCAGTTCAACACTTAAAAAATTGCAAACATTGCTAAAAAAACCTCAGAGGTTTTTATGGGAGTTTGTTTGCCACACAGAAAAGAAAACATCAGACTAACAACAAGGTTTTGATTAGTTTTGCCTGTTAGCTGCATGAAGAAAACATTTCTAAATACAAAGTTTTCTAGGAAGTTGAGTCACTATTTAAAATCCATTGCTTTGACCAATGTGAAGCCAACAGAGTTTTTGTTCATATAGAATGCCTTTTTATCGAAAGAGGCTCTGAGTTTTATACCAAAGTCAGCACCCAGCTGTTTTCAGTATGTGCAAGAAAACATGGACGTCCCCCAAAGCAAATGTACTCCATTCTGTGTTAACCTTATTTCTGCTCTCTGGTCTCTGATTAGTCTGGTTGATGAATGTAGCTTCCCCTTTGGCCATGCACTCACAGCTTTGAAGGAGGTTTCTGAAGGAACCAGTAGGGAACCCTAGGGGCTCTTGCTAATGTTATTGGATAGGCACTGAAATCAGTGATCACTATGTCCTTTCACTTTGAAAATTCTGTGATTCTGTATAATCAAACAACCTAACTCACTGGATTTTTCACTTTTCAACCAGCTATTCTGTATCTTACAATGCTCCCGTCTTCACAAATATGTAGGTACCTGGCATGTCAATTGCCTGAATTTAAAAGTTTTCACCTATATGTTTTGGTACCATAAAATAAAAATATAATTTATGTATCTGAGTCAGGTCTATATATTGTGATCAATTGCTCAGCAATTTCGGGCAGTTGGTTTGATGGTTAGTGATGTAGCCCGAGAGCAGAAATCCAGAGCCTCTGGGCTAGAGAAAGTATAAATGGCATCCTGGGTTATGTAGCGTTACAGCTCTTCAGAGGGAACTTTCATTTTCATTGTGACATCGCCTACACGTTGTAGAAGAACATAGTTTCAGAATTCTTCCAGTTAGAAACATAACTTCTCAAATATTCACTTTCAGCATGGGGTAGGAAAAGTACCCAGCTGATGGACTGATTGATATGCTTCAGAAACTTATTTTTTTCCTGCAAGTAACAAAAATAAACACACGTTCTTAATTATTTTGGTCATTTAACAACCCATCATTTCTAGACCATGGGTTAATTCCACCGATTGCTCAGAAGCCTTCCTGAGTCATCTCAAGCACAATCAATTCACTACTGTGTCTAGACACTGCCCTTAGAGGAAAGCTCAAAATGAAAATGAAGCAGAAATACAGACCTGCTTCCTAGGCCACTCAGGGGTGCGTGTAACTTACTAAGTGATCATTGCATCAACTACTGTTTGTTAGTGAAGCTGGTGTCTGCAGAATCTTGATAAAAAGACGCATGGATAATGTTGCTTCTTTAGTAAGATGGGCTCTTGCACGCATTTTTATAGTTTTTCAAAGTAGTCATTTTTGTTTTAAAATCTTGCTGGCAAGTCCTTTATAGTAATCACATTTTAAAAATATGTCTTCTTTATTTTTATTTTATTATTATTATTATTATTTTTGAGACAGAGTCTCGCTTTGTCACCCAGTCTGGAGTATAATGGTATGATCTCAACTCACTGCAACCTCTGCCTTCCGGGTTCAAGCAATTCTCCTGCCTCAGCCTCCCAAGTAGTTGGGACTACAGGTGCCCGCAACCACACCTAGCAAATTTTTGTATTTTAGTAAAGATGGGGTTTCACCATGTTGGCCAGAATGGTCTCGAACTCCTGACCTCAGGTGATCCCACCTCAGCCTCCCAAATTGCTAGAATTAGGCGTGAGCCACCGACTGCGCTGGCCTTGTCCTCTTTATTTTTAATAAAATTATTTAGTCATTAAGAATTTTGACTAGTGGGCCAGGCACAGTGTGACTCATGCCTGTAATCCCAGCACTTTGGGAGGTCGAGGTCAGAGGACCACTTGAGCTCAGGAGTTCGAGACCAGGCTGGGAAACATGGCAAGACCCCGTCTCTGCTAAAACTACAAAAAATTAGTCGGGCGTGATGATGCGCGCCTGTGGTTTCAGCTACTCGGGAGTCTGGAGTGGAAAGATCGCTTTAGCCCAGGGGGTGAAAGTTGCAGTGAGCCATGATCGCACCACTGTACTCCAGCCTGGGTGACAGAGCGAGACCCTATCTCAAAAAAAAAATTTTTTTTTTGACTAGTGAATAATTCATATTCAGAGCTCTTTTTTTATGTATGAACTAAATAATAAAATAGTTTAAGCTAAGTGCACTTTTTATTTTTAAAATTTTATGTATTTATTATTACTATTTTTAGAGATAGAGTCTCACTATGTTGCTTAGGCTGGGCCCCCCTCAGCATCTGGAGTTGCTGAAACTACATGAAAGTGCTACTGCACCTGACCTATTTAAGAAAATAATCTAGAGAAGAATTGACATGTTGTTTATGAATCATTCAGTTAGGTTTTCTCTATAACATTGAGATTTGGTTAAAAATATGTTTTTCATAAATTTAAAAGCTAGTGAAATCTTAGCTTTGCTGACTAGGATGTCTTATGATATAAATGAGAGAGAGTTTTTAATTTTTTTTAAAAAACTGACAACTTTCAAAATAATTTCTCAGTGGCTTCATAAAAATCCAGAAAAATGATTTCACAAATTTTTGTGACACTCAGCATTTTTAAGGTAGTTCTCTCAGTGCCTTGCAAACAGCAGCTCTAGTGTATATTGAGAAAAGGAAAAATTCTGAATGGCAAATAGATTTCAACTTTAACCTATTTCTTTTTTTTTTTTTTTTTTTTTTGAGACAGAGTCTCTGACGCCCAGGCTTGAATGCAGTGGCACGATCTAGGCTCACTACAAGCTCCACCTCCCAGGTTCACACCATTCTCCTGTCTCAGCCTCCCGAGTAGCTGGGACTACAGGCACCCGCCACCAAGCCCGGCTAATTTTTTGTATTTTTCGTAGAGATGGGGTTTCACCATGTTAGCCAGGATTGTCTCCATCTCCTGACCTCGTGATCCGCCCGCCTCAGCCTCCCAAAGTGCTGGGATTACAAGCATGAGCCACCGCGCTCGGCTAACCTATTACTTTTTTTTCTTTAGTCTTCTTGGTTGTGCAAAGAAAAATTACCCAAATCTTAACTTTCAGAAAAGGTAACCAAGTCC